TTCAAGAACATCCTGAAGAAGTGCCTTTAGTGAGGGTATGTTATTGATGAATCCTGTCAGTTTTTATTTGGATGAAAATGTATTTTTATCTCACCCTAATTCTCCAATAACTGTTTAGTAACATAAAATTCTAGGTTCACAATTTTTTTTTCTTCAGAATGTAAAGATAACATTGTATCAATTTCTGACTTCTATTATTGCTATTGAGAAATTTGCTGTCATTCTAATTGTCATTCTTATAGGTAAGTTGTTTTCTTTGGTATTATGTAGAGTCATCATTATATCGAAGTGTAGATATTCCTTTACCCTGCTTGGGATTGATTGTAATTCTTGGATCTGAGCATTTTTGTTTTAAGAGTCTGGAAAATTCGTAGCCATTTATCTCTTTGAATTTTACCTCTTCCTTGTCATTTTCTTCTAGAATTTCTACTAGGCAGTAAATTGGACCTTCTTGTTCTACCCTTTATTTCCCTTAACCTCTTTTTTATATTTTCCATTTCTTTCTCTCCCTGTGCTACATTCTGAGTAATTGTTTCAGATCCCAGTTAATTCTCTCTTCAGCTAGATCTAATCTGCTACTGAACATGACCATTGAATTTTAAAATTTCAATGACTAGACATTCTTTTTTTATTTCCAAATTTGTCTGATCTTTTTGGGTGGTAATATATTTCTTCGACATGTTTTTGATTCCGTCTTTTATTCCTTTAATATTTTAAACACATTTATTTTATGTTGTGTCCCCCAAAATTTCTTTCTTTGACAATCTCAAGGTTACTTCTTACAACTTATTATTTTTGCTGATTCTCGTGCATGATGATTCGTTTCCTCACACATCTCGTAATTTTGGGTCACTCGTGCTTGGAAGTATTTGTCTGTGGGGATACTGTGAAGCCCGTATTAAGGATACATTTCTCCAGATTTTGTTTTTGCTTCTTCCAGGTGCTCCGAGGCACTGTGGGTCTGGGACCATTTTAATTTCTTGGCTTGTATTTTCCTGGATCATTATTTTGAATCACAAACTCACCTGAAGGCAGATGTGCATTCTCGATTATCAAAGGAGAATTTTTCTGCACTCAAAACTACACAAGATAGACAAATTTCTTTGCTTTTTGGCCTACCTATTCACTTCCACGTGCAGTGTGTGAACCTTCTATGAAAATGCTTGGATTAGCAGCTGTTTTATTTTTGCTAATTCAGTGGATGCACCGTGAACTCTTTGTGGCTGTAATTCACATTTCTTTAATGACTAATGAAAGTGTCATCTTTTCATGTTTATTGGTCATTTAGGCTTTTGTATTCTTATTTGTCTTTTGGGTTGTTTTTATCTTTCATATAGATTTGTAGTAATTCTGTCTTTATTTTAGATTCCAAATATCATTGCAAATGTACTCTTCCAGGCTATGACTTGTTTTTTCACTTTATTTCTCTTATTGTCTAAAGAGGTTTTATTTTTCTGTGGTATTTTCAATATTTTCATTAAGATTTATGATTTTTGAGTATTGTTTAAGAAATCTCTTTCCAGTCATTCTGTTTATCTTCCATAATTTATTCCACATTCCATTCCATACTAATTGCATAAGTATCTTCCATATTTATTCTCTTCAATAAGCTTCATTACCTTCCCCTCCACTATAAAATTCAGCTTTGTTGGTGGTGGTGTTTTTGTAGAAGTGGGAGGAAGTTGAATGCAATGAAAACACAAGAGCCCAGTAACTTGGATGAACAGGGTTGTTGAAAGGGGCGACCTTGCAGAACCCCAGAGCGGAACGAACAGAACTCCCGCAGGGGCCTGTTAGTGAGAGAACTCACAGGCTTGACCTTTAACTGTTACTGGAGAAATTGTGGAATTAGATATTTTCCTGTTATTTTTGCAAGGTTGCCCCTCTCTGTCATGAACCTCGATTTACCTTTTACGTATTGGTGTGGTGCCATCTCAGAACATAGAGATAGACAGACAGACATAACTATCCCACAATGGCATGTTATTATGGTTTTTTTTAAAAAAAGGATCAAGAATATTTTAGCTTTAAGTCTGTTTAGGTTTTAATAAAACCTTGCATTTATCATTTTTCTTCTAGACTTACTGAAAGTATCGGGTGGTAATTAAAATCATTTATAATACAGTATTCGCAGCATACACAGCATGCGCTCGGCAGAAATGTAGTAGTAAATGCCCACCTGTTGCCAGACCACAGACAGGAGTAGGGAGACCGCACCAATATGGCACCAACCAGCATGACATAGTCTCACGACACACCAGATGGCGCCAGACCTGTACCCAATGATATTTGCAGTTTGGTTTCTTTGTTCGTTTTTGGAGGAAGTTTTCAGGTCCTTTCCCACTCTGCCTCCGGCCTTTCTGTCCTTCTTCCTCCTAGCAGAGGTGTGCGGGGAAGAGGTACAAGCTGTTTTCCAGACATATTCCGGAGGAGGCAGAATGCCCAACTACTTCATGAAGAGACAGGTTTTTTTCCTAGAAACTATAGACCGGGGGAGCAGGAAGGACCTTTAGAAATCCCCGAGACCCACCTCCTCGGTTAGGACGGGACTCCAAGGCCTAGAACCACTCTCGCTTTCTTAGGTGAAAGGTGGTCTCACTAATAACCCATCTAAG